CATCTATTGATTTTATAATGGTTTGACGATTCTGATTTGTATTCGGTTTGGAAAATGTATGATTTTGTTTATATTCCCGTAAAATATTGTAAATCGAAGCGCAACACACTCTAATTTTATCGGAAACTTTCGATACGACTTCGTCGACAGTCGATGTCTCAATTTCTTCCATTTCTTTCTTGAACACATTTAAAATCACTTCTTTCATCTCAAAACGCAAATGTCTTTTTTTGGATCGTTTCCTAGCTGGACTCAGAGGATAGCTCACAGTGTCATCAGCAGTGTCTGTACTGGACATCTTGGAAAACAATTTTAAACAATATACTATAACGCACGCCACACAAACACGCAAACGACTGATTACAACCCTGTGCTGGTACCGACCTCGTACCAAGAAGCCGAATTCACCAATGAACGCTGACCTTTCCATCTGACACTGGGCGATCACGTGAACATCACGCTTCGGTTTTGTTTTGTTTTACTCAATCTTGGATTTGGATAGACTTTAGGAGATGTTTTCTTCTATTCAATCCAGACATCGGATTTCTCCACAAAGATGAATGTATCCGAACCGGATATGATAATGCCAAGACAGACAATTCCTTTTCATATTTCGATAAGTTTGTTGGGGGTTAAAATTAACACCGATATGTCTTGGCAACATATTTATGTCGTATTTGATGGTCACAACAAGAACTGCATGAAAGCCATTGAAAGAATTCGTCTCTTTAAAAGAAATGCATTTAATGACATTATATTCAATAACACCAAGCCTACCAAAATAGAACAGGAAAAGTTTTCAGCGAATGTCAAAAATGATAGTGGGCTCATAGATATACTACGAGTAACACTTGCGGCTAATGCTGACAGAATAGTATTTGAGACTGCTATTAACCTGCATTCCGAAAATATTGTTGCAGTGTACGAAGATGTAGATACTTTAGTTTTATTGACTGCACTCTCACCAACAGACCGAGAAATGTATATTCAAAAACCATCCAAAAGCGAAGATATAGCAAAAAGTGTACTCTTCAGAGAGCTTAGAAAGACTATTACCGAAATGTAAACAGCATATTCTATTCTTAGATGCATTTACTGCCTATGACACGACGTTAGCTTTTTTCAGCGTGGCAAAAACGTGTTTGGAAAAAATTTCGAGAAACAACAAAATGCTGTGACATATTTAATGCTGGTGTTTTATCTAAACATATTAAGATATAACTCTGTTTTGAAAGCAACTGCTGAAAATACCTGCGTTGAACTGTCTTCTTTGCCAACTACTGCAGATGCCGCAGCTGCACTAATGCTTCACCTACAATCGATGAAATCGATGACGACGACAGTAATGAACAATACTGTTAAAATGTTAATATTGTCAATAATAATGTTTTTGCTGTAACTCATTATTTTTTGCTAAATATGAATGAATTAACATTGAACTTACATTTACCCCGTATCCTTCTAATTTCTCAGTGAATTGTTGTTAACAAATGTTGTAATCAAGATCGAACATTTTTTTTCAACTTTTTTATTTGAATTTTTAACAATGCAGACCAACAGTTTTTATGAAGATTTGATTCATTGACTGGCCCTGGATTCCGAGATTTTACAATTTTTACGCTCTACGCCACTCCACTATTAGTTGAATCTTCAGATGTTCAATTAGGTAATGGCTAATGAACTTCTAGCAACAATCTAATTCCAATTCCAAGCATTTTATTATTTCGCTATTCTAATATGTGACTATTCACAAATATTGACAAATTGTCTGTGGCTCTCTTCCGATTCCTCTTATTACCAAAAAATTATGGCTGCTGGTTTATTTGGACTGATGTTCAAACAGAGATTTTTCGAAACGTTGAATAGGTCATCCGTATCAATATTCAAGAGATATTTAGCAGATGAAAATTATCAATTTTTGCCAAAAAAATTAGGTTGATGTCATTACTACAGCACGTTAAAAAAATCAGAGGTGTAAATGAAGCCTGAAGAGGTGCAAGTACAGAGCCTTGAAGTGCACCATGAAACACGTACAGTGCTGGTGATATATTTGGAAAAATATATTTAAAAAAAAATGATTATTTCATCGAATCCGCAGCAACAATGTTTTGCACATAGTAAAGCATGGTTCACAGTTTCGAATGATTTACTATAATCAAGTGAAACTGAAAGTGTAACTTCATTATCATTATATGAATGTATAATAGTATCCAAGAGCGTCCAATGCACCCTAAAAAAGTCACTGTTTGATGTGGATGTCGGACTGGCGGACATCGGTTCATATTTCTTCGATAACGACGTTGGCCTGGCAATCACCGTCAACGGGGAGCACTATAGGTTGATCATTACTAACTTCTTTTAGCCTGTATTGAATATTCTGGACACCAACGATATGTGGTTTCAACAGGACGGCCTACGTGCCACACAGCTCATGCCACATCGGATATTCTGCACGTGCGTTTTGAGGGCATGGTCATCTCAGGTGGAGGTGATGTGAAACGTGTGATTTGGCCCCGTTACACTTTTTCTTGTAGGGTCTCCTCAAGTCGCAGGTGTATGCGAATAAGCCACAAACCACAGAGGTCCTCAAAGCCAATATGATCCATGCCATCGGTCAATTCAGCCTGATTTTTGAGTCAGAGTCATGGAAAATTGAACGTTTTGGATGCGCTCCATCCAGAGTAGCCGATGGTTATATTCCACACATAATGGCATCAATAGGTTTTTCGAAAAAATTTCAATGACAAAACACAAGCACTACAAAAAATCCTTAATGCGCTCTCTGAGCGATGCCTGTGAGAAAGTAGCGATTCACGTTGTATTTGAATCGCTGGAGATTCAATTAATTCAGAAAAACGTTTTCAGGAAGTTTATTCCACATGCACGCAGGTCTCCAAATGAAAGAGTTTTTGAACAGTGAAGTTTGAAATGTATTGAGTTGAACTTCAAAACGATGAGCAGCCACAGTCCGTCGTGTATTTCTGATATATACCGCTCTTGGTGGTACCAGATATGCCAAGTCACTTGAACAACTCCCGTGGAAGTATCTATAAAAACGAGGCAAAAATCCAACCATTTTTCGATGTTCCACACTATAATATTAATGTTCGTGTCTCCAGTCAGGCGAATGGTTCTTTTCTGGACCTAATTCAGCAGCTTCAGGGTATGCTTAGGGGCGCAGCTCCATACATGGGAGCAATATTCCAAAAAAGGTCTGATGTGATCTTCATAAAGCATCAAAAGTTGCTGAGGAGTGTATAGTTTGCTAATTCGAAATAGTGTTCCAAACTTTTGAGAAGCAGCCTTTAAAATTCCAGCGACATGACGTATTGGTGTCCATTTTAACCTCCCAACGAACTCGAAGCAGAAAGCTTCGGATATAATAATGTCCTGACATTATTATATCCAGGTCGGAGACATTCATCTTTTTGGAGAAAACCCATGCTTGGGTTTTTGTAGCTTTGCATTGAACCCGGTTACTCTCATCCCGATTCGAAATCACCTCTAGATCTAGATAAGACATGCAACCTTCTGCTGCCGGTGAAGATGTGCATCCGCAGGCGTTGTTCTGGAATCCAAATGGAATGACGAAACAAGTGTGCTGTCTTTAACAAAACAATAAGTCTTTGATATACAATAAAAAAAGGTTTTGAGACAATATGGATCCCTGGGGAACACCAGCGATGATAGTAAAATTATTCGAGAGGAAGCTGGAGAGTCATACCCAAAAATGGTCCGACAAGCTATAGTATCAAAGTTTGGCCAGAATAAAATATGTCGATGATATCTCACACAGACCATGTTTTATTTGAATTTGAAGATTGAATGTGTTTAATGAAAGACCCTATAGTTTCGACTCACCTGTTTATGTCTGCCCACCCAATAGTTATGTCGGAAAAATATAATGAACCCAATATTCGAATATTCTATAGGCTTCATACCTTCGACAGATATAACATTTGTTCATTAATCAAATGAGGTGATAAATAAAAATAGTCATTATTCAATATTCATTCAATAATTAGCAGGCCAGAATTTTTCCAGTTAACTCAGTCGCGATATATCTATTGAATACTTTCCATCGATGTAATTTGGATCTGGAATTACTATAGTCAGATATTTGTTTGGAAAACGAACAACCAACAAATATATCATCATTATATATGTTAGGAATCACACGTTAAAAGGTAAGACCTCGTTAATCCTTAGCTCACACAAGTTTCGACTTCGACTTAACAGATTTTCAAACAGGTTTTTCCACCTGCCTATCTTTGTAGGCAGAGCTGTTGAAAGTTTGTCTAGAATAGCTATTGTTCCAAAACAAGCACATTTCCTAACTATCAGGAATACAATACTTTTATTCTGAAAAGAGAAGAGTGTTGTATGCCTGGGGATTGGGAAAAGTGCATGTTTTGGAGTTATTTTACGCCAGAGTTTCCAAATTCACCTTTTAATATGAAAGAGCGTATCAAGTTCAATATTATCGGAGTTCCATTCCTTTTATTGCAGGGAAAGGATACTGTGGAATAAAATACAATTATAAGAGACATTTGTAACTATATTTCACACTGGCCAGTGCTTGTTTTGGAAAACTTTTTGACACGAGATGCTCAGCCCCATTCAAGCTGAAAAGTGAACTGAAACCTCTGAGTAAAAAAACAAACAAAATATTTTTCCACCCACTACAATAATAACTTTCTTCTTAACGCATTTCACTAACCAAGTTGGTGTTATTAGTTGATTTGAATTCTTCATCCCATGACAACGCAAACTTGGTTGGTGAAAGAAGTGTCAAGAAAAGTTTTAGAGTTTGTGCTTTGTTGAAATTTCTCGAGCTGTTTTAATCGCAGTTCTCGTTGTACAAGATGTGAAATAATTGTCATGGAAATTCAAGTTAATCTGTTTCGTTATATATTTTTTTACTCTTGTCACACTTTGGAGCAAAAATGTTGATAACTTCGGAAATAAAACAAATATGTGGTAATAAAAACTTAAAATCATTTATTCTATATTTTCTAATTTTAACATGGATAAACATACTCATAGAGCTGAAATGAACAGAAGGAGGGAATATCGATTACATCACATGTGCAATCAAGAATTAAAAACCATTTACAACGTACGTCTTCCGTACTCTTATAATACACAATGTTGGTGTTTCTACTTCAGTCTTGAGGAGCCGTCAGTTCATTTTTTGAAGTGACAGTGAAATCCTATTGATTACGTCTTGACAGGATTTGATTTTGATCCTCCATTGGATTTCATCATATGTTTCATGAAGTAAACAAAATATATATGACCTTCATTTGAAATATATCCTAGAAAAAATTTGTTTCATCGAGTAGATTGGCTTGAAGGTTCATATCTGCACATTATTCTCCACGATTATGTAAGGAAGTTTATTATTCAAAAAAATTATTGTACATTTCTTCCAGATCAACGCAGAGATAAAGAGCTCCCAAAGACTGAAATATGACCACTCTAGGAAAATTCACAGTGAACGACGACATATCTCTAGTAATTACAAAACATCGTCCATACATCCCTTATAACTCTACACAACACTTAAAAGCGCCAATAAATTAACAGGGTCTGCTATAGTACACTTTATATCACAATGTAACATCGTCTGATCACTCTCAGACATGAATGGTGTCTTCGTCTTCGGAGGGAGATCTTCTGCCACCCGTACCTGGCGATCCCGGATCTAGAGGGATGTCAGGACTTGGTGACCTCGGAGAGGGACCGTCGTGGCTTGGGCTGGAGTAGTAACTGCTAAGCGTGCTAAGGGAACTACTGGCAGCTAAAGAACCTGCAACAGAAAACTCCAATTAGTAGATGTCTTTGAAGAGTAATGAATATGCAAAAACACAGATACTAGTAATCACTGATTGACATGAGTTGCATCCATATTTGGCTAACAGATTTTCTATACACGTTGGGTAGAGGAACTGATTTGAGTTGCGGAACATTTGGGGTCTTCTGTTCTTCACCTTGATATATTCAATGATCATAATCCTATGTTTTCTGCAAACAGTGGTAAGGTAGTTCTCGACTTTTTATATTTCAGAAGTGACTAATATTATTCTTCAAAGGAATTTTTCGCTGGAGAGCGCAGGTGGTGATACATGAGTGTCCTCCAGATATTCATACTATCAGTTTGGGAACCGTATTTTTGTTCTCTCTGTTGAAAGACCACAAGCCCTTTCCAAATATATACGCTGACATCAAGTTGGGCTCCCGTGGGTTGGGTTACCTATCGGGCGCGTCTCCAGGTGGCGGATAGGGGAACGGCCAGGGGACTGGAGGCCCTGTCCGGAAAGCCAATGTGGCCTAACGGACGGGGTCGCCTGACTCCTGGTGAGTGGCATAAATGAGTGGGGTGAGGGGAACTAAAACTCCCCAAAAGCCTTTGCAAAACATGCCTCCGTGGACCAGCCTACCCAAGCTAAGGTGTAAGGAATCGTGCCGACAGCTGAATGGCTGCAGGGTGATATGCGGTCACGAAAGATCCCCTTGGGGAACTGGGCGAAACTTCATTGTAATCAGCCTACCTCTGGTAATGCAACTCTTCCCTTGCTACTCGTGGAACACTCATGAATGAAACAAACACAGAAACAGAAATAGCAAAAACAAAAACCAATCCCGAAGCTGGACAGAAGTGCTCACCTCAATTTAAGGCGGTGGCTGGGGATGAACAGAAATGTCCACCCCAATCTACCGCTTGGAATGAGGCTGGACACCTCGTGATGTAATACAAATGCCAAGGCGTAGGCGCATTTGCAGCGCCGAGGCCAAAAGGAGAAAGAGAGCGAAGGAGACAGGAGTGGTAGCAACTATGAGTGCACCCTCCTCCTCCACTCCACCTCCAACAGCAAGGCACTTCCTGCGGCGGGCGCCAAGATCTCCGCCTTGAATGAAGGCAAAGAACCGCCTGTCCCTACAGGAAATCTCCCTCACTTGTGCATCTCCACGGAGGGAACCCCAAGGATGTTGAATAAGCCGCGCAACGATAGTAATGTAGTTGCACCTTCCAAAACCTTCGCGGAGGCCACTGTGAGATACCTCAAGGTTGCCAAAGAGAGTGTGTGTTCGGCGGGTCTTGGCCTACACCTGCCAATTTAAAGGAGATGTCTCCTAGTGACCTGTCCACCTTCCTGGAAAGCACAGGATGGACAATATCCTAGGAGGACAACTCCTCGGGAGGATGTACAATGGGTCACATGTGGCCTAAGTGCTGTGGGTGTACACTCACCCTCCCTACTCTACAGATACAGATACATACCAAGTTCGGCTAGCCCCGAAGGACTTTTGATAAAATTTATATTATGTAATAATAATAATAAATATGCTCTATTGTCTTAAGGGCAACTTGTTGACAAAGCTTGAGCAATAAGACAATTCATATAACTTATTAATATTTAATATAAGTAAAATCGCAAGTCATAGTAGATAATAAATAAATTTCGTTTAACGAGTAAAATACGAACATAAGCTTGAGCAATAAGGACAATTAAATATAGCTAATCAATATAAATGTTTATAATATAATTTATAAATTTTTATAAACCCACATTTTTGATGGGTTACAGAAATTGTAATGCGGTTTATTGTAACAGGCAGATCATTTTCATTTCAAAATTCACTTTTAATTGATATTTCTAAAAACTGAAATATTCGTATACTTTCTACAATGTTTTGTATATAATAGTACCTAAGTGGTTGCAAAACTGAATAAGATATATGATTAAATTGGAAGGGAGTAGTTGATTATTAATACTGAAGGAGTTTATTTTTAGGAAAGATTAATTTTCGGAAAATAATGGTTTGGGCTTTCTCCTAAGGAAAATTCTTTTATACAGATGAAGAAGTAGAAAGCCGAATCAGTCCTTCTTCTTTTTTATCGAGTTGTGGAATCGTTGGCCAGATGATAATATCCAAGAAATTATTATCTGATTGTTCAATTATTTACGTCAACATTTTCAAGTTTGCGTTTCTTTATACATCAGGAATGAAAAAGTTTACCTACCTAAATGTGCACTGGGTCCAGGTATTCCGAGTCCTATTCCAGGGGGGTAGAGCCGGTAAGGTAGGGGTTTCTGAAGGGTTGCTGCTGCGGCCGCCGCTGCTTGCCTGTAGTACATATCTGCTGCGCTGGGAGCAGCTGGAGGTCCAGCAGGTTGCGGAGGATACCAGCAACCGTAGGCAGGGGCACCGTAAAGTCTTTGGAACGCTGCGTAATTTCCAGCTTCCGCTAAGAGTTCCAGACCGACGGCTGTCTGTCTCTTCCATTTCGTCCTGGAACAAAAAATATTCAGTTATTTCAACTGTAGTTTTGTAAAAATAGATCTCAGTTCATCACGGAATAGTATTATAGTGGATTTTTATTCATGAAAATGGACCATAATAAAAAGAAGTGCAGTATAATCTTTCAATTGCAAGAATGTGCAACTTACGTCATCAATTACGCCCAAAAATGTTCAATATTCCACCAAAGAAAATAAGATCTTGTGACTCCGGACTACTCTTCAGAAGAATACAATTTTTTTTTAACGGACGAACCATTTCATAATATAAATGAATTTTCATTATTTGCTAACGTATGAAACACATATACTTGTATTTTAATGAACATTTTATTGTATGTTTTTATAACTTTCGATGAATTGTTTACAATTTTCTGAATTTGTATTCAAAACAAACTGTCTATTCCTATAGATATGTGACAAGGAAAATAAACTGATTGATTTGATTGATTCATTGATAAAATTTGATCTGAATCATTTTGAAAATTCACCAAAATTTGAAGTCTCCTGGTGAGATTGTCACCTAAAATTGAACATAGTGAAGCAATGTCATTGGCCCAACAAATTTTAGCCTCCTAGTCTTGTTGGTAATAACGCTTGTAGCGACTGCTGTATCGCTGCTGTTCCAATGTTTTAACAGAATAAGAATCAACGAACTTAGGCGTGCGCAGCGTTATAGAACAGTGCTTTCAAGAAATTGTTCTACAGCGTCATCTAGTGGCGAGTTACAGAAAAATTGATAGCCCAAAAATCTTCTCTATGAAAAATTACTTATACATGTCAAGTTTCATCACGATCGGTTGAGCGATGTAGAAGTTTATCACTTACCAACCAACCAACAAACATCCATTTTTATATATTAGACTAGTACTATGTTCCTGTATCGCTGCTGTTCCAATGTTTTGACAGAATCAACGAACTTAGGCGTGCGCACCGTTATAAAACAGTGCCACAGCATAGTTAGGTATGCTGTGACACTGTTTTCAAAAAATTGTTCTACAGCGCCATCTAGTGGCGATTTACAGAAAAACTGGTAGCCTAAAAACTTATTATTATTACTTATACATGTCAAGTTTCATCACGATCGGTTGAGCGATGTAGAAGTTTATCACTTACCAACCAACCAACCAACCAACAAACATCTATTTTTATATATTAGATTATATTCAATTGAAAGAGGTATATTTTTGGAAAGGAAGTTTCAGGAAGGCTTTTGTTTCAGTCTGTTTTGAAAGTAACATGATACGCACATCTAGTTGAACAACTGTGGTCTTGAATGGCTATCTGATTTTATCAAACTGAACTGAACATAGTAAATTCGTATTGGCTCTAGTTGTTGTTCCACCAAGCTATATCAGAATAATTTCATATGTTGGTTCGAAAAATGAATAATGTGATATTGATTTCGCAGATGTTCAATAATTCATTTTCACTTTTGTTCATTGCTTGTGACATAAGATTTTCATGACTGATCATTGACAATTTGAATATTATAACTTCTATCAGTTATTCTTTTATCTACTTGTCATTTCATATTATATATGATTAGTGTTGATTATTTTTGATTTTCTAAATATACAGCGGATCTTGTATCAAGTGTGACCAACATTGTTCATTTTACTTTTCATTAAAATAACTGATTGGTTTGAAATTTTTTTTGGTTACTTATACCTCCTACTAAGAGATAATCAAAATGTGATTTTTTTCAGATATACTTATATTAACAAATATTACACATCTCTACTTAATATGTATCATCAATGCATGTCCTTTCATGATCGAATTCATTTTTCGTTTATCAAAGGTTCATCCGAACATAAATAATAACTCAATTGAAAGCCGTGAAGACATGAATATGGGTTTAATTATGAGGCAGATCAATTAAATGTGTTTGGTTATAGTTAAAATATTCATGTATTCTGTATTAGTCATAAATAGACCGTTAAACGGTTTTTAATGACAGAACGGCAATTTCATCGGTATATAATATTGAAAATGCCTGTTCCCGTGTTCTTGCCAAAGATATTCATTAACAGTTATTGCTTTGATAGTCGTTTAATTTTAATAGAGTGTCAATAATTATAATATCGGAATTCAGAATTTTGAAATGCAGATATAAACATGAAATAGGTATATCAATTTTTGTGCTCTCGAGCATTCCATTTGAATAAAGAAATAATAATAAAAATAATGTTTATTCACCATATTGATCACATGTATATAACAGAGATTGGGTAAATAAACGTAGGAATCACAGAACCAACATTTTCGAAAAAATGTTCCCTGTGCGTTATATTGTCAAATTCTAGACTATGACTAAACTAAAAAAATATGTATGTAAGGGCATTCTATACAATGATTAGATATGAATTGTTAAAATTAAATTAGCATGAATTGAAAATGAATTATATGAATAAACTATATTTGAGAGTTTGAGGGTTCTACAGGGGGTTTTATTCTCACTTATAAAAGTTCGATAAGAATTTCTGAGCCAATTTTTCAGTTCTTCTTGAGTTTGAATTTATTTTGTTTATTAATGAGTTGGATTTTTCCAGTACTATGCTCCAGATCTTTGGGCCAAGATAATAACAGTGTAATCAATAAGTTTTGATTGATAATTAATGGACTTTTTATTGAGTTCATTCTACAGGGGGTTTCATTGTCACTTATAAAAGTTCGATAAGAATTTCTGAGCCAATTTTTCAGTTTTTTCTTGAATTTGAATTTAGTTTGTCCGGTACTATGCTCCAGATCTTTGGGCCAAGATAAATACAGTGTAATCAATAAGTTTTGATTGATAATTAATGGACCTATTTTCGGTAGTTTATTGGCATAAGAGGTAAATGGTAGATATTTTGTTTTTTCTACATTTGAGGCCAATTTGTTATATTGAAACCATTTCAGGATGTCATGATGTCATGAAATCTCTTTCTGATTTTATCTTGAGGTCTTGCCATGTCTCCGCATTATAAAAGATTGCTGTGTCGTTAGCAAAACTAGGAATGTTTCCTTCGGAATTAATTTTTAATAAACTATTCTCGTACTACTTCTTTTTCCATCGATGTCAACTATTCGTCTTCGATTATTCAAGTAGGAATAAAACAGTTCATATGCTCTGCCCTGTATGCTAATGTTTTCTAATTTCTCGAGGAGTCTTTTATGACGAACACTTTCGAACGTTTTCGATAGGTCAACTAGATACATAATGCAGGTTTTGATGAATCCAAGGATTTGTAAATTTCTGATGTTAAAGTGAATATAGCATCCGCTGTCGACCTCCCCTCCCTGAATCCGTACTGCTGTTCTAACAGAAGGTTGAATTTTTGAAAAAATGTAGTGAAACTCATTTTAATAATTTTTTCTTAAATTTTTGCTATGTTACAGATTAATGATATTGGTCTGTAATTAGCAATATCAAGTCTGTCTTTATTTTTTTTTATCTCTTTTTTTCTTAATTTTTTTATGGCGGGTTGTCTGCCTTTGTTGATCTTTCACTGCCTGAACCATGCATGCTGTTTTCGGTGAGTGCATTGGCTTGGGATGTGGGGGTTGACCAAACCGGCCATCGGATGCCTGCTTCCACGTAGCCCCGATGGAAACGGGAGTAACAGAATCATTTATGATTTTGTTATTCCCTAACTGAATGGCATCCCAACGATGGCTTGATCCTAAGGTGTGTGTATCCGTGCCGGGTGGATGAATGACACTGAGCCTATCAGCTGTCTCTACGGAACCTTCGAGATACCGGGAACCCTCTCGTCGTAGCATCGCCTTGTCACGCTAATGCGGGGCTCTGCTTCGACCTTTTTTCCCTAGCTACTCGTAGGACTTTTATGGACAAATCAAACTTAAAAAAATCTTTCTGACGCTGAGTCTACAGAGGAGTTGGATATCGAGCTTACAACTCAAACTGACCTCCCTGCGAATTTGGATCAGGAGCGAGTCTACAGAGGAGTTGGATGTCGAGCTTACGACTCCAACTGACCTCCCTGTAAATTCAAATCAGGAGCGAGATCTTCTCAACTCACCAACTCCTGAGCCAATAACTAAACCTAAGAAAAGGTTTGGTGATGCAGTCAGGAAACGACTGAGTCGTCTCTTCAAGAGCGGGGTACCTTATGAAAACAGATGGAGGAACAAACCCCCCATGAGCAGGTTAGCAAACGTTTGCGCTCAAGTGATGATTCACCAAAACCAGAGGCGAAAAAGTCCTGCCCGGGTGAATCTAAGGCATCGTCAGGTGTAGCTGACGTGCAAAACCCTCATATGGGAAGGCTGTCGCGGGTATCAAGGTGGGAATCTTGCCCCTTGACTATCCGACTACCTCATTAACGATGAAACAGCAGAGCATATACTTTGTGCCTGCCCCGCTGGGGACCGAATCAGGTCTTTAGAGTTCGTCAGAGCCGTACTCTTACCATCTGATCTGAAAGACCAGTCACCATACAAACTAATCGGCTTCGTTATGATGCTGGGTTTATTTGGTCGAGTGTGAATTGGTGTGAGCCACAATGAACCCTTGCGGGTTGCGGTGGAGGGTCGAATAGACCCACTCACTTTGGACTCAACCTAACCTAACCATTTTCTTATAGTGCTTTGACGACACCAATTTTTAAAACATCAGGAAAAACTCCGTTTTCTAAGGACGCGTTGGCAATGTGGGCAATAATGAATTTCTGACACGTCGGGATGATGATGTTCTTGATTTTGTTATAACTGGTCTACTATTTCCATAACTATGAAGCACTTTGTTAGGGTCATTATTCATTGTACTTCTTCAATATTTATCATTGGCATCATGGTCGATGAATTGTTTGGTCATCAATATCCACACTGTCCAAATTTGAAAAAATTGCTTGACAGAAAACGGAGTTATTGAATGATCCGAGACTTTCGACATACCCTGTATACCCTGTTAGGGTCATTACTCAATGTACTTCTTCAATATTTATCATTGGCATCATGGTCGATGAATTGTTTGGTCATCACTGT